CCAGGTTTGCTGGTCTGATAAGGGCCTGGTGGAATGACTGAGATTATGGCCCCTAACTGCCCTTCAGGTCTAGAATTGAACCCACACCTGTGGCTTCCAGCCACGCAAAAGTCAGGCATAGGACTTGAACATTTACCTGAGGTAAATACACTCCTGGAGAGAACAATCAAGGGAGAAAGAAGGGCTGTTTATGCAAATGGAGACAGCTCAGGGGGAGGGGTTCATGGAGGGATGGACACAGGGAAGAGGTGACTGTCGGGAGGAAGTGGGAGGGGAGCTGTTGCATTGTGGTGAATTGTGGTCAATGTCATCAGACAGTGTATGTGAACTGCTGTATGGAAAGTGAATTTGCTCTGTAAATTTTCACTCAAATCACAATTTAAAACAAAACAAACAAAAAAAACTACACTCTGAAAACAAAACCAGAAACATGATAATTTAAAAATTAGCAATATGACCAAATGTCACACGACAGTGGTGAACTCAGGTGATAATTTGTTTTTTATAATAGAAATCATCATACTTTATTTAATATAAACTTGTGTTTTTTTTTTTTTTAAATAGCATATCCCACTCAATTTATTTGAACCACACTTTCTCATTCGTATACTGACTATCCATATGGGTGACAGGAGTAAAGACAGAAAAGACTAATGTCCAGAGAAGCTTATTTCTTTGCAGATTCTGAAATCTGTTCCTAATATAATAATGTTTTGAGGGAAGAGGAGGAAAGGTGTAGAGGAAATGATTAAACACAGCAATATTATTGTTAGCTGGCCTTCAGTCAATCCCAACTCACAGAGACCCTGTGCGCAATAGAACTAAGCACTTCCGGGTACTGCGCCATCTCCGAGATTGGTTGAAGGCAGGGCCCTTGTGACCCACAGGGTTTTCACTGGTTGATTTTTCACAAGTAGATCACCAGGCCTTTCTTCCTAATAGTAATCTTCAAAAAGCCAGAATTTTGTCAAATTGATTATGAAGGCAGAAATAATTTATACCTCCAAAATAAGCAAACAAAATGCAAATATGGGAGTATATTATTCAACAAACTATAGAGTCTAAAGATGAAAGATATGGACACGAGATTTTATTCATTTTCATATGCATGTCTAGAATAATACCTAAAGAAAAAACATCTTATGCACTCTGTCATCTCTTTAGAATCTCGTTAGAATACAGTTTAATAATCATCTTCATACATTTCATCTGGATGGGACAGAGAACAAAATTTGAAATTTCAGTTACTTTCATAAAACTCAGAACACTAGAACCATATCTTTATGAAACATTATTCTGCACTGAGAAATACCTGTTTAATATAAACTGTCGAGTTTCTACACCTATCAGATGATTTTCATTTTACTATTTGTGGCATGATCCACATATGCCCAAGAGGCACAAATCTGATGTCAAAATAGGGCACATGGGAACCATTATCTACTAGATACAATATTATTCTTCTGTCAAATAAGTCTTCCAAAGGTTCTTTCAGACATCATCATTTGACTTATTAAAATTCAGTTTCACTCAACATTTCAAGCAAAATGATTATCAGATGTAAGGAGCCTCCAGAGACTTATAAACATTTGATGTTTGCTTACCATATGAGTTGGAAATTAACAGTTTAGCATACTATCCATAAAAGGAGATTTTCAATGAAACAACAAAAATCAACTCTCTTAGCTTCTTGCCGGTACACAGAGAAAGAGGCAGAATAGGGCAAAATATAAACTTGAAAGAGCAACTGAACATATTTTAAGCTGTTATCAAAATTCTCCCAACAGAGAAACACTCACTACCACTGTGAGAAGAAAAGAGAAGCATTTACTAGGGACACTTCTAGAAGAGTAATGTGCCAACATGGCTGATTCACCTTGCTGGGATTTAAGAGCTCTGTTGGCCCAGCACCTAAGGCATCTGACTATTAACCAGAAGTTTGAACCACCAGCCACTCCTCAGAAGGAACCCTGGGCAATCTACTTCCATAGAGATCTTGCCTTGGAAACCTAAGGACGGGTCACTATGAGTCGCAACAAACTCTATGGCAGTGAGTTTGGTTCGGTTTTTAGCAAACAAAAGTGAATGTATGCGATGATACCGTATTTCTAAGCATTTTCAGTCAAGTCCCCCAAACAACTACCATCTAAAATAAATATTTGGATCACATTACTAACCCATGCAGTCAGTAGCTTTAGAAACCAGATTTCCTAAAAATTGTGGTATTTATAAAATTAATCATAGAGAATTAAATTAAGATCTAATCCTAGGATGAAGGTCATTGGTCAGAGATGTAACTTAATAGATAACAAAAAGTGAACAAAATATGGAAGCAAAACACAAATTAGGATTTTTTTTAAATAAATTCTGAAATACTGTGACTAATTCACTTACATCAGTGTCATAAACATTGTAATTTGAAGATAAAGGATAATATTGTTTTTAAACTAAAATAACATTCTTATTATGGGAGCTCTGGTAGCATAGTGGCTAAGGCACTTGACTGCTAACCAGACGGCTGGCGGTTCAAACCCACTAGCCACTCCTCGGAAGGAAGGTTGGGCAATCCTACTTCCGTAGTGATACTGCCTCGGAAACCCAAGCAGGGGTCGCTATGAGTCAGGTTTGACTCGATGGCACATAACAACAACAACAACAACAACATTTGTATAAGGGCAAATAAGTGTAACAATTAAAACCAATTAGAAAAACAAGAAGTTCAAATAGATGGGCATGATATGCATTTTTATTTTAAAAACAGACACGAATTCCACCCTTTTTAGTACTTGGGTAGAGAAGATGAAGTTGTATTTTCCCTCCATAAAGTACTGTAAGAGAATTCACCTCTTTTTAACTTTTGGAAAAAACTCGATTTCATCTTGAGAAGACTCTGGGTTTCTTAAGCCTTCAGAATGTCACACTTGCACATGGGGCATGTCCTATGGGCTAAAAGCCAGGGGTCAATACATGCCTCATGGAAGAAATGTTTGCAATTTAAAATACGCACAACATCTTTGGGTTTGTAGATGTCAAAGCAAATAACACAACTCTCTTCATTGGGATCTAGTTCCTTATCGCCTTCTTTGAGCACTCGGAGTTGAAGCTCAGCAATCGCTTTCTTCACATCTGCCTTGATCTGTCTTCGCCGCCTGGTGGAGGAGTTGGGCACTCTAGGTCTCCAGGCACAGTACAGGAAGAGGTAGGCAATGCTGGCAGCCAGGAAGGTAATCAGAGACATGACACAGTGGCTCAGCCAAGGCATGTGCATTCTCCCCACTTCAATTATGATCGTCACAGACACTCCTTTCTGAATCAAGTGCAACAGTTCCAAGCCTTTCAAGTTGCCTATCATCACGGCGACTATGTTATCCGTTCCCTGGTGAGACATGGGAAATACTTTGTTGCCCGTACCTGGATAGTTATAGATGATCACCCCATTTGCTCCCTTCTCAGCTGCCACGTTGATTTTATGTGTAAAGGTACAGCCTCCCCGTTCAATGAGGGCCAGCCACGTCTCTGCCTGCTCAGGCCTGCTGAAATTAGTCATAGGATTACAAGCATTCTGATTCCATGTATCAGGAAGTGCCACCGCACCGGATACCCTTTCCAGAGGCGAGTGATTCCCAAACACTCCACTCTCTCCTAATTTGGATATAATCCGATTTCCTACCTGAAATGTTATATTCAGGTGGGCAGTCCAGATGGCTTTTCCTGTTGAGTCAGGAAGGCTAAGTAGTAGAAAGAGGCTAAGCCGCAAAAGTCGAGATGAAACAGAACTATGAGTAGGAGTAGTTGTAAGTAAGCTCATCCTCCATTTGTGTATTAACAGACACACATGAAAAACAAAACAACATCAATTGTAAAAGAAAATAAAGAGGCTGACTTCAATTGTTGCATGTAAATGGAAAAAGGTCTACGTGGGTCATGGGTATCTTGCTCCATTTAGCATTTTACTTTTGGTAGTTTATCCTTCTTATAATGAATTGTTTCATAACAAGAGCTGTGATTAGTACAATGTTATTTCAAAAACATTATGACTTCTTAATGGGGAAATTTTGACATCAGAGGTAGCTAAGCCAATCCAAGAGTTCATACTAGTATAGTGCATACTGAAATCCTATTGGCCAAAAGTCTACTAGGCATTGACTCATGGTATATAACAATCTGAATAAATTCTAAAACAATAAGTATTTAGATAAGAAATTTTTAAAGCCCTTAGTTTCTTTCTTAGTTCTAGACAATTAGAAAAAGCTACCTAACCACTTCGTGTGGTTTGATTTTCTATCCAAAAGGCAGAGACAGAAATCATTCATGATTAGACAATACACCTGGCCCGTTACCAGCTCGTGTGTATGATCCCATACCACCCAATACGCCATTCTGTGGGAAGCAGGAGCAATACACTGATACTCTCTGCCACCATTAAGTGCTTATCCCAGGCCCAAAGACTCAATACAAGGAAAATGTGTATAAACTTCTTGCATTAACTTGATATACTGGCATCTGACAAAGTGAAATAAAACTGATTCATTGAAATAACTCATGAAAATCTACTACATGCTATTCAAATGCTAAGTGTGGAACATGTAATGCAGAAGGATACAGATACATCCCTGCTTTTATTTTGTTTAATATCTAATGAAAGTAGGTAGTAAATAAATAAATACCCACACACATAACTGCAAATGTGGTAAAAGGCTATGAAGGAAAAGCACAGAATATCAAGTGAAAGAATAAATAAGAAAGGGGTCAAACTTCAGTTAGGCGACCATTTTATATGAGACTTGAAAGATAAATCAAAATTACTTAAAAGTCTAGTTTTAAATATGTATATTCTGAACCACACAGGTAGGCTAAGGATAACTGAAATACGCTACTGGGGTTGGTTGATCAAGTGGTTCGCAAATCCCTGCTTTTCTCCTATTTCTGTCCTGCTTCTTCAAGTAGATTGGGTTGCCCTTTTGTGTCAGTTCCCCTCATGGTGCCAAGGTGGCTAGTGTATGTACTTCCAGGTATCAAATAGTGATAGTATTCAGAGAGTAAAGGAACTTTTTTTTCCCCCTTGCATATCACTTTTTAAGAGCAAGGAATCTCTCCCTACCCTCCCACACCCCATCCTCCCACCTCCTATCCCCTTACCCTCCACTCCCCCCCAAAAAAAACCCCACCAGACTTCCTTCAATGTCTGTTTGGCTAGAATTGTATCAAAAACCTATGCTTAATGGCCTTTCTAGGAGCTCTGGCAGCATAGTGCCTAAAGCACTTGACTGCTAACCAGAAGGCTGGTCAAACCCACCAGCCACTCCTTGGAAGGAAGATGGGGCAATCTACTTCCGTAGTGATACTACCTCAGAAACCCAAGGAGGGGTCGTTATGAGTCAGGTCCGACTCAACGGCACATAACAACAACAACAACAACAATGGACTTTCTGAATCAGAATGTAATCACCGTGACTGACAGATTAAGCAACATTTGTCCTGCAGCGGAGAACCCCTTTGCTGGTTGAGCATATAGTCAAAGAAGGGGTGAAGATAATTTTTCTGCACCAAGTGAAAAATGGTGAGTAGGTAAAGAAAACATAATCGCAGCTTCTAAATGTCCAAAAGAATAATGCATAAACAATCGGCACCACCAACAATCATGTAAGACTCAATACTGTCTGTAAGGTACTGACAGAGCCAGAGTCTATGAGAGGACAGAACACAACCCTGCCCTGAAGAAGTCATCATCCAGGTAAGGAGAAGAGAGTTATACACACACGACATGCATGTATGTATCCTATAACTTCTAGGTTCCAAACTAACATTTCAAGGAAGTTAAAATTATCATTAAATTCAGTGGCACAGGAATCAACTAATATCCATCTCTCGGTTGTCCCTTGATGTCTACTGTTAGAAATGTTCAAACTTCCAAATATCTCTATTGTGAAAAGAAAAACAGCTAAATATATTTACACAGCACTACCCAGATAGCAACTTAAAGATGCAGAGAATTCCAAGAAGGCTTGCATAAATTACCCCACAAATCACATTATCCAGAACTATGAAATTATATGATCTCTAGGAATCCATAAAAAACTCTTAATTTGAATTTAAGCCTGAAAATGACAACTGTATAGGATTTTATGAGGAATTAAGTGCATCATAATGGGATTTGGTGAGGAACAGAACACTGGCTCTAAGTGGTTTACTGAGGACAAAAAAAAAAAAAAAAAGCAAATAATGCTAATGATAAATATTTTCCAAAAGCAGCATCTTTATATTATATAAAACTATACTTTAAAATTTTATTATATTTTGTTGCAAACTGGTAAATCCTCATAAACATTAATGTAGAATTTTTTCCTCAAATTCTCCCATAATCTCTTATTTCTCCTAAATTACTCCCACATATCCTCAGACATAAATGCAACAATTACAGGGAAAAAAATCTTTTTTTAAATACCAATATACTCCTCTCAGTCTTTCAGAATCTAGGAAAGAGAATTCTGAGTATGCTAAACATGGAATATAACACATTTATAAAACAATACATCAGCTTCTGAATCATCTTGACAGTTACATTCTGTAAGAAGACAGGTGACTGAAAAACCAGGGAACAAAAAACGTAGGAATACGAGCACATGGTAAGAGGTCTACTAAATTGGCAACAAGTTTCTAAAGTAGATTCCAACCAGGAAATGTGTGTAGTAGAGGAAGGTGATGGAGTACAAGGGAGAAACACAGGCAGGACAAATACCATCAGAGAGAGAGCTCTTAGCTCATATCTTCAGAGGACTGAGCAGGGGGCAGCTCATCGAGGGGTCCAGACAGGCAGAGTCAGCACAGCAGAAGTAAGGCAACTGTTACAAGGAATGTGATCCTCATGAAGCCTGAGTTTCAGGGGCAAAAAGAAATCAATAGCAGAGAACGGAAACAAAGAGTAGGGACTCTGAAAGTCCAGTTCAAAACGGGACCTAGAGTCAAGTCTTGCTGATAAGCAAAGCCAGAAACTTCCCTGGTAGCATAATAGTTAAGCATTCAGGTGCTAACTAAAAGGTCGGCAGTTCAAACTCACCAGCCACTCTGCAGCCAAAAAGACTTGGCTAAGTGCTTTAATAAAGATTACAGCCTAAGGAACCCTACGGAGCAGTTCTACTCTGTTCTCCACAGTCACTAGGAGTCAGGATCCACTTGACTGCACACAGTAATAACAGGTCTGGGCTATGGGTTGCACAGCTAAGTGCTGGACCAAAAGGTGGATGGTTTGAACCCATCCAGTGGCTCCTCAGAAGGCAGTCTTGCTGATCTCCTTCCCAAAAGGCACAGCTTTGAAAACTCTGTGGAACCGTTCTCCCCTGCACACATGGGGTCCCCATAAGTTACAGTCTACTTGATGGCAACTAACAACAATGGCTAAGGTATGGCTGAACGCAGTATTCAGGAAAAGGAAGATCATCTGTCAAGACAGGAGGAATGAATACAAAAGGGTTCCAGGCAGAGCAGTATGTAGACAGAAAATCCTAAGATTTACTTAGACTTTTCATTCATTATTATTTTTTAACCAATATAACAATGTCCATGATTATTAAAAGTTTTAAACTTAAGTATATTGAAAAAGAACAAGTAGTCCTGGTGATGCAATGATTGAGCACTCACTGATGAAAGGAAGGTCAGTGGTTTGAATCCACCAACCACTCCACAGGAGAAAGAGATGGCAGTCTATTTCGTAAAGACTGCAGGCTTGGAAACTTGGGACAGTTCTATTTTGTCTGATAGAGTCAATATATGAGTCGAAATCAACCAGACAGAATTTTTATAAAAAATTCTGTTGATTACCATTCTGTCTTCTAACTTGGTAGATTGAATGATAGGAAGAAATTGTTATTTTCAAGTTACTGTTAAAGTTACAAAGACTTAGACTTAAATTCTGAACACAGAAGAGACTGTAATTTGTAAAGTTTGATTTATGCTCATTAAGATTGAAGGGATTTGGTCAGTTTCCAAATGCTTCTTTATCTCTGCATTCTGGTATGAGTATTAAATCTATAGGAGAATTAAAGGCTGAACTCGTTATGCAAATTCTAACTCTTCTACAGTCTTACTGAAATGGTCATAATATGAACATAAAACTAAGTAATTAAGTAGACAGATACATCCTTCTTGTTGTTGTTGCTGTTAGGTGCCGCTGACTCGGTTCTAACTCATAAAGATCCTAGGTCCCAAAGAACGCAACACTACCCAGTCCTTCCCTATTGTCACAATGATTGTCATTTTAGAGCCCATTTGTGCAGTCTGTGTGTCAATACATCTCATTTTGGGGATTCCTCTTTTGTGCTGACCCTCTTTACTTTTACACTACCAAGCATGATGTCCTTCTCCAGGGACTTATCTCTCCAGATAACATGTCTATAAGACAAAGTCTCATCAGCCTTGCATCTAAGGAGTACTCTGGTTCTACTTCTTCCAAGATAGATTTGTTTGTTCTCTGGTTGTCCATGGTACATTCAATGTTCTTCACCAACACAAGAATTCAAATACATTAATTCCTCTTCGGTCTTCCTTATCCATTGTCCAGCTTTCACATGCATGTGACCTGGCGGAAAATACCATGGCTTGGGTCAGGTGCACCTTCATCCTTAAAGCGACATCTTTGCTTTTTAACACTTTAAAGAGGTCTTTTGCAGAAGATTTACCCAACGCAAAACATCATTTGATTTCTTGACTGCTGCTTCTACAGGTGTTCATTGTTGATCAAGTAAAATGAAATCCTTAACAACATTAACCTTTTCTCAGCTTATCATGGATGCTGCTTATTGGTCCAGCTGT